ATTCCAGCCGAAGAGCTAGTGCTAGTTGGGGTGGACATCGTAGTGATATGAATAGGAGTTGACGCGGTAGTTGTTGTCGGGAGGGTCTTTGTGTTTGTCAATGTAAGAGTATGCGTAAAAGTATTCGTAGATGTGCCTCCATTCCCCGTGCAAAGCTTTCCGATTGGACAGCACCCGCCTAAGCCATTGTTTCCAATGTCGCAGTATTCGCCTGCAGGACAGTAGCTCCCATCGTTGCAGCAAGTGTCTCCAGCGGGTATACAGTTATCGACTCCGCAGGCGACCGAGCCGATGGAGCAGAGACTATCTTGGCGAGCAATGAAGCGCGCCCCGGGTTGCAGGGCGAGTGCAACGGGTGTTGCCAAGAGGATAGTAACGAGAGTGGTTTTGTACATGGTGTACATTTACAGCTGTAACCGAGATAGATGCAAAAGGTCCAACGTGGAATCGAAGACAACTGCCCGAAAGTGTCAGTCAAGGAGGATCCCAGGCCATTTATGCTCTTTAAGAGGCGGTCACCAAGCAGATCAGACTTAACGCCCATAATTGGATTGTGGAGATAAAGGGGAAACGGCCTGGATTTACTGGCACGGGAATGGGTTACTCATCCATGTCCAGGGGTTGGACAAGGGGTTTAAAGTTTAGGTGCAATTTGAGATCCCTGATTGACGGGAACGAATATTTATCAGAGCCTCAAAGGACTAGTGGGCAACTTCATAGCCCCAAATGTGCTTTGCCCCTTCCCCGCGTCTCCCAGTGCAATGGAGGCATTACTATCTGAAAGGGAGTTGTAGCCTTGCTGGCTCGCTACCTGCAAGGAAGAAAAGAAGGAACGAAGGAAGGCTAACACCTTGAAGATATCCATTGTATAAGGATAAATAAGATTCGTAAGACGCACAACTCCTCTGCCACAGGAAGAAGATCCCACCCACCTGGAAAAGGGACTCCGCCTACTGTTCAGCCCGACAGTCTGTCCGTCGACCTGCATAGCCGAGTTCTCGGTGTGTGAAAACGGATGGTTGAATATAGGCATACAAGGAGCTGGAAGTTAATTAGATAACTAAATTTAGTTATTATTACCCCAGGTACAGTAACATGAAATTCTCGCTCGACGCCTGTCATCGTCGACGTTCCGAATCCAGCAACGATTGTCTTCCAGCTGAACAGCCCTGCTCATCCCCCCATTGCGCAATCAACCAATGAGATCAAGCCTGATTGGTGGCGATGCAGGACATGAAACTTGTATCCCTTATGTATAGTAGTTTATTCGTCAACCAAGACTGGGAAGGTTTATCACCATCGGGATTACGCGCTGCGGTCCTTGTCAGTGAAAAGGGTGTAGCACGGTTCAAGTATAGTCCGCGCAGTCTCAGTATTTGTTTTTATCAAAAATGGGTTGCTTATGCTAACCCTAAGAACTTTATGTTTTACTTGCCTCTCTTTAAACTATTTAATCTCTTAAATATTTCATTATGTAATCTTACATTCATAAATCTACTTACAAGGTACTTTTTGTATAGAATGTAGGATATATGTTATCTCTTATTCTTGTGGCCTAGAGAATCACTTACGAGCTGCCCTGTGCTACAAACTCCTAGCCCGCGTCGGGCGGAGGTTTTTACTTTTGTTTTCCTGTTCTCACCCGAGTGATGAGAATTACCGGCATAGCGCTGTGGGGACACATGTGGCCGAGCGTCTTACGACCAACTTGCCAATGACTTTTTGGACGTGGCACGGGTTGTAGACCTCTCTATATGAAAATATCACCCGGTTTATTCTATATCCTCTTACTGTATCATTGAATAATTGTGAGGCAGGTATCATTCGATTCGCAGAGCAATTCAATCTCAGTAGCCGGAAATAAAGTTGACTACTATGTAATATCATGAGCAACCTATATTATCGAATACATAGTTCCAATCATAAGTGGTATTATCTGTATCCAAAACAGAAGTCCAATCAATGCCCAATTCTGCATCCAACAGAGTATCTCCTGATGGGAACTGCCCAACACTGAACTCTAGAGAGTTCAAACAAGGTGTCGTTGGAAGGTTGTTCGGCGTGCTCACTGAGGTTAAATTGGAGTTTGGTGACCTTTTGGTCTGGCGAATTCGCACCTTTCCAAAGTACGGAATCACGGCTTCATATGCCTCGGGGCCAGAATAAGTCCCTCGGCAGGACGAGCACAAATACCGAAGTAATTGAGAAGCTTGTCCTGCCACCGAGCATTCCATCTCTCGGGAGAACAGGTCCATGGCTTCACTAACATCACTGACAAGCTTCCAGTCACTGGTATCTTCATCAGAGGTGATAGAGGATGATTGTTGAAGAAGATTTATAATGATAAGTACTGCTCCAGTGAACACTATGAAATCCACGAGATCGCACACGATAAAGGAGGTCCCACAAGCATGCCTGAAGAACAGGTATGCTTCAACCATTTCACGAGCTGCAGTTAAACCTGCAGCCTTGCTGCGCTGCTGATCTCCATAGACACAAGGCGCGAGCATAAACGGAAGGTGAAGATCTTTCACGAGCTCAAGATAGTGGAGCTTCACAGCCAAGCTGCTGTAGAGCATGTGTATGGATAAATGGTTGGAATGATAATCCCACCACTCCGATGGCATGTCATTCCTACACTGTAGCAGCTCTTCCTCTATCTGGGAAGTGGAGAATCTAGAATTTTGAGGATCTTGATTGCGCTCATTTATATGACCACAAGCCGTAGCAATCTTGTACATCACTCGTTGACCAACGCTTTGACCGATATATCCGTCTGGCAGCCTTGGATAAGTCTGCGCAATTCCACACGGAACTCCGGTAATTAATGCCGTGTGTGCCTCCATCTGCCAAATCGAGGCCCATATAATCTGCTCACGCTCATTTGCTTGACCACTTTTGCGATTTAGGCCCAGGATTAGTGCAAAGTCCATACCGCGCCGGCAGCTCAGCCAAGCTTTACGAGGCTTCCCAATGTTGACATATAGCTTTGCGAGTAATGGCCAACACTCGATTCCTTCTAGAGATCGTGTGGAGACCTCAGACATCAATAGGGTCTCCACACCGCACAAATAGAAATCTATAAGGACATTTGCACTGTAGGGCAGGCTTTTGAGGTGATGAAACTTGACTGGGAGCTGTTGTATGCATAGGGTAAGACAGAGCGCGGCTCGGGCGACGGCAACGGGAGATCCAGCACTGAAGGACTCGAGAATAAAATTCTTGGCCAAAGTGACTTGGCAGCTACAATTACCTACGGGTGTTTTAAACACCCACTCTGGAAAAGGCTGCCAAAGTGGCCATAACATCTCGGTTGCCTGGAGGATTGAAAATAAAACATCATCGGCCGGCAGCAGTTCATTCAAAGACGTGATACAGCTTCGTGTTCCCTGGTCCGAAGGTGTCTCTAGTTGAACTCTACTTGGTTGAGTACTATCCTTCTCGATAATCATACTTGCTCTGAACAACTCTAGCAATGGCGCGTGCTCGAAGGAATTGCCCGCATCGAGAGAGTGGTTAATGGAACTGGACTGTGAAATTCCTGAACCTAGAGAAGAATTTATTCCCACGGTCCTCAACTCTCCGTTTAATTCCGGTGCTCGTTGCTGAAGCCGCTTCAAAGCTTCTGCAGTACTCGTCTCGAAGTCCGCCACGCTCGCGGACTCGACATTGAGGCCAATAGCACTGGATATATTGCGGACCATGGCTTCCAGCTTTTCCATACGTTTCTGGGCAGCATAATCCTGCTCAGAAATGCCATTATGTATGCGGCCTGGCTGTTGAGCAGTACATACAGCACCGTGCAAGGCACATTGGCGGCAGATCTGCGAATTCGCTTCAAAGATACAGCGGACTTTTCGTCTTCGGCACTCGGTGCAACTCCGTGTGCCAAGCCTCATGCGTTTTGGCGTTGGGCGGCAAGCCGTGTTCCCCGAGTTGGATTCTGCCATGTTGCGGTGTCGCCGTGATAAGATACATCTCCCATCCTTCCCGATTGTTGTGAATGAGATTTCGGAATTCGGGGATCGGGACCCGAAAAGGCGCAAAATGGTTTAGGTAAGCGTCCGCAGAGCCGCTCATTCCGTGAAATGCTGCATCTCACTCGCTTCGGCAAGACATCCATGGACAAGCGTCATCAATATGGATAAGAACATTTATGTTCCCTCTCTCTGCTCATCTCGTCGCACCCAGAAGACAATGAGCTTGAAATCAAGTCTACTTGGGTCAAATTTGTTCGCTTGATTGGTCTACCATTTGCAGCATTGGAAGTAGAAATTACCGCGTCTACTCTCTTAACGGCTTAAAGAACTTCAAGAAGAGTTCAGACTGCTCGGAGGATAATACAGATGCCAAACTCGGTATCTTCATTCAGTTAGGCGGGAAATCTCGAGTTCGCATAATCACTTTCGCCTACTTGCAAAAATCACAATTGGCCGTAACCGACACGATTAAATTTAACTCCCCGATAAGACCGACTAATAATGCGCCGACAGCATAATGAGCTGTCTTGCATATCAACGAACTTATATGGAAAATTTCTGTAGTAGTACACTAGAAATTAAACTCGACTGCGAAATGACTGCGTTCTCTGCTAGGTAGTTATCAGATTTTGTCAATAGATGCTTAACACAAGATAGATGACTGTAGTTTGCCAAAGCATGATCAGCTGTATCATGGCAGCCTACGTCTAATTACTGTTAAATTATAAAGGATGCCCCTAGCCTTAAGGGTTATAGGAGGCATAGTGGACAAATGGGTTGGTTAGTCCCTAAAACGCGATTTTAAGGTTCTTCGCTTAGACTTTTGTCCACATACTATATAAGAATTTGATCTCTTTAATTCATAGAATTATATACCTGTAAGAATATGCGCAACTTCGATAAAATGATTATTGTGAGAAATTTCGCTGTCGCCAATTTGTGGTTCGTCCATTAGCGATAGCCGAGCTTTGTTAATATTTAACATTATAGACTATATTAAGGATTTTGTTGTCAACAATTGGGCGCGTGGTTTAGTGGTAGTAAGTCACCCAAAAAAAAACCTCGCTTGTCCTCCAGCCCTAACAGGAATTTAGTAATACTCCCTTAGCATGGGAGTGGTCCGGGGTTCGATTCCCCGCGCGTCCAAGCCAAAAATTTTTTTTTTTGGTTTTTTTTCCAAGCTGTTTTGCAGATTTTTGGGCTTCAAATTAAAAGCGGTTCTACCTCGGTACATTAATTTTATTTCAAGGAGTATGATCATCAAATTACCCACTCTTATCCCCATTCATTTGTAATCAACCTTGCTGTCAAGGCGAACCAACAGTAGAGACTAGTAAGATTCGAAACCCAACTTCAGTCTGAACTCTATTCCCTCGTCTGGTGCGAACTGCCCACGTAGCATGGGTAAGCGGTCCAATAATACATTTCATTTAACATTTATTCATTGCATTATTGTCTGAATTAGGAAAAGTAAAGCATAATGTTATGTATTTTCCTGAATATCAAATCAGATGGGAGTATTTGCAGAATCCCTACTTGTGATAGCCCCAGTTGACGACCAGGTCACTATATCGGAGACGAATCACTAGCGGTGCGGTCGGCGGCAGCTACAGATTAAGGTTGACCCGGCTGCTGTATTTATATTCAAGTCCTCCTCTAGGTGTGACAAACCTAGACCAGCCAGCGGTTTACAAGCGCAGCAGTGATCTCGCTTCAGCAGATTGGCCCCCTGTATTTAAGGAGCTCTGCTCTCCTCCTCTCCTTCACTAATCGCTCTCTGGAGTCATAAATCACAATAGAAAGTTCTTATTTTGAAGTCTACAAGACTGCCCTCTTTCCCCTCTTCATTTCCCCTATTTTTACGGCCTCTAGGCCCAAATACAGCCCAAAAAACTAAGCATAAGACCAATCAAAGATATAGCCTGGAAGGCCGACGTCTGTAAGGTCTTGTTGTAGATCCGTAAGTCCAAGACTAAGTAAGAATAGTCCGTAATCATAGTGTAGCTCCATTAATACTAAGGGAAACGTTGCAAGCATCTGGCTAAGCTGGTAGGTTAGGTCGTCACAGAAGTGGACCTTAAAGCGGTTCCATACCTCTAACGGGTCTGCAACCCTGCTTTAAGATTCAGTTCTATTAACAAGCTCGTATCCTCGCTTTATTAACTCATCTGCAGCTATCCCTACACACCAATCATTCATAACTCCACTCTTTGGAGCGTATCTAAAAAAGCCAATAACCTCCCCTTTGCTGGTCCAGATAGCGCTGCCGCACATACCGTCTGGAAGAGTGCTTGCTGACCCCTGCCCCATATATACCCAAGCAGTAAATGCCCAGAGTTGCTCCGGAGCACTATAGTCATCAACAGGAATTCGTTGAAATGATGATCTCATAAAGCTCCCCTCTAAACTTCCTGTATCAGGGGAGTCTAGGTAAACAAAATCCCCCACCCGCAGCTTCTTAACACTGCCTAGCCTTTTTAGCTGGGTAGACTCTGAGATTGACTCGCTCTGGAAGGTAACGTTAGAGAACCTCTCGGCGTCTGCTAACTTCACAAGTCCAACGGCTGTATGCGTCACCTCCATTATAAGTTCACCGACAGTCCGGCCACCCACAGGGAGTGGGTGGGTGACCTTCGTGCCGCATTCGTCCGGGAATCCGTGGGAAGCGACAGTCATAAATTCGTTGCCGACTAGATCACTTACTAGAACCCCGGCCGTCGTTGACATAAAGGTGTTGGGCTTGCTTGTCATGCACGCCGAGGTTACTCGAACGCCCGGCTGTAAAGACTTGTACTCGCTTTCGTCAGGGTTCCCTGGGGTTGGGTCCATAATGCGACGGGCTTGCGGTGCTGAAGGTCTTCCAATCTCATCATCATACAAGTACGTACATGCAATGTTCGCCACCTCTTCAATATTCAGAGGAATAGAACTGGCTCCAACTACTTTGAAGGTACCAAGTTGGTTTCTAACCTTCATTAAAGCGAGTTGTCGACCATGTCGATTATTATAAATATCAAAAGTGTGTGGTGAGAGACATTCTGGTCACAATTGGGGTAGATGTCCAATCCAAAATGCCCAGCAATAGACCTGCTCAAACTTGACTTTCCAGTCCGGGGGGACCATATAGCAGGTAACCCCTTTGGTATGGAATATCCCGGTTGGAATATCATCCTTGGGATGTTTGGTTGAGGGAGTCCTTAGTATCTTTCTGCAGCTTTCCCTTTTCACTCTCATTAAGCACAACTGTCTCGATACGTTTCCTACTCACCACTACAGGCCTCGTTCATCTGCTGTCTTGGTGCTTATAGAGATAGGGTTTATCCCGAACAAGGTTGGTATACTTGGTGTTGCACTCACAGACCAGTTCCCTAAGAATCTGCTGAGATCTGCCAAAGCAGGAAAGACAGGCCTTTTCTCGGCTGCTGACATCTGCAGCTTTTTATATTGATGCCAGAACACAAGCAGGCGGCCCTTATATCACATAAAAAGTGTCTATTCCAGGGCGTGTAATATACAGTCTTTTTGTGTCCACCTCCGCTATTTGAAGGATCATTTCTCGAGCGGTTCAATGAAGATGCAAAGTCGGCAGTTAACGAGCGAGGAGCCAGCGTTCTCGGCCAAGCTCTGAGAAGATATCCACAACAAGAGTATATCATATGCGTCCTCACGATATCGAAAATGAACAGTTGAAGCTACTTGTTGTCAAAAAGTGGGTTCCTTTATTCGGATAAGGGGATTCTTACTACAATAAGTCTCAAGCAATCCCCACAAGTACTGGCAAATACGTCCGCACCTGAACATAATTAACCCAAAGAAACACAGCAGAGGAACATAGACGTTTAATTCAATGGTGAGACACCTTTGGACAACGGCAGACATGCTGGTGAAGCCTGGGAACAAGAAGTCTAGGATCGAGGCTTGAGCGTCCGAGAATGTTTGAATTGATAGGGAAATATTCTCAATGTATCCTGCCATTTTCTTCCGTGAGATGGTGGTTGGATGTTTTCAGATGGATAATGGATTACTTTATGTACGGGACAGACAAGATATATATTAGTTAAAAAGGGTTGGAAAGATGATTGGAAGAACTGGATACTAAGAAGAGGGTAATAATGATGGGAACGTGAGAGGAATTGCTCCTTCTGCGCCATGACGAAGGAAGCGGGACTACCCTTGGATGCACTTGAAGGCCTCGGCACCCTTCAGATTTCGCGCTCATACGCAATTGATAAGTGCTTTGGTTCTAACGTGCTTGCACTAACTTAGATAACTATTAATGCAGAAATAAACAAAGGCCCCCGTCGAATATAAGAGATTGTGAAGCTTACGAAAATATGTATTGTGATAAAAGGCTGTCTGCCTCGCTAATAGACAATGCAAAAAGCTGCTGCTTATGCCGTTCAAATGTAAAATAATGACTGGGGAAGAAATCAAAGCCACTAAGTCGAAGTCAAATTCATAGAACGCTCGTGGTAGAATGACCGAAGCTTGTCTGATGAGTCTGGAGCTAGAACATTATCTAGTAGATGCTGCCTGGTGAAATGTATAAGAATATATAAACTGGACGGTTTATAAGATTAGGACTAGTGAACTTATAGCGAGAAAAATATGAGGGGCGTCTCAAGACACGATAGATTGAACCAACAGACTGAGTTCCATCGTAAAGAGAGGTAACCCAACACAAACCGCTTGCATCTCTGTGTGTCAGCATTTATTTGTGAGTTTGATGTTGGATGTTCTCTACCTTTCAGCGCCTCAAAATAAGTAGCGCCTCCTTGTGTGTTCCAATACCATAGCTTGCAGCACCTTTCCAGTACCCCAGCTTGCAACCTTTTTCAAATTTTGATTAAACTTTCGACTTTTCCAGTACATGGTACTTACAATACCTTGTCCTCCACTATCAATGAGATACTTAAAGTTTACAAGTTTTGATGATCCATCCTCCCGACTCCAATTAGAGGACACTGGCCAACCAGGACCCGGGAGATCAGAGCCTGCAGCCCTAGTCACATCATCATCTTTCTCGAAGTTGATGCTATCAACTATAGTGACATCGAAGACCTGGGCACCGCTTTCTCCCGCAACTCTCAAGAGCATTTCATCAGACTCAGATCTGATGACATTCCACCAATATCCATCCTGGCCCCAGCGGCAACGAAATCAGTATCTTTGGCGGATATTGGCTAGATTTCATCACATAAATTTACTTCAACTCACAAGCTTCAGGCTCCTTCCAATTAACCCTGAACATGTCAAATTTCTATTCATAATTTAGTATCACTTCATAAAGGGACTATATCTGTATCTACATACCTGCTTGGTGAAGCCGTGACTATCAAATTCGTCATCACCGCTGATAAATCTGAAGAAGTGTCGTACGGATGGAAGCAGGCCTTCACTAACATGATATCTATCATGGTTGGATAAGCAGTAGAAACATTCTGGTTCACTGTAGAATAGTTGGATAGGCCAGCAGGGCTAACGATACACTCGATATTCTACAACTCACCTTGGAAGTTAATCAACATCCAGAAGTACCACATCAACATCCTCACGTGCCAGCGCAGAGGCCGCAAACGAACCCGCTGGACCGCCACCGACTACAAGTACGGTGCAGCTATCCAGAACACACATCTCAGTGGGAACGTGCTACGGTCGAATATGGTTCGCAGGGATAGGATTGGCTCGTTACGGTCCTATGTAGTCTGCCGTATGCCTGAATTCGATTAAATTGAAGCCAAGATAAATATGCCCAAATCTACAAATTGTATTAGATATTTACAAATCTAATACATAACGCAAACCAATCTATAGAAACAGTAGACAGGAATGCCAGGTCTATTAACGCTTCATGGCCTACTCGGCCCTCTTCTCATAAATCCGCCCAAGTACAAGTACGGCAGAGTCGGATGACAACTGGCCAATGAATACTCGCAGATAAAGGGTCACATCTTGAAGAGAGGTACAGAAGGAATGTGGGACTGAGCTACTGCGAAAAGCGAATACAGGTATATAAGGACGGGGAATGCCAAAGAATGGAATCAATAAGCAGCATTTGATAAGTCGTATTGAACACTTGCTTTGTTACAACTCCTCCTGTGGTCACGGCGTCGGCGAATTTTGGGAATCTATGTCATCTGGAAACT